CCTGCTGAAAACCCATGGGTTCAATGTATTACTGCTATTACATTGACTTAAGAGTGTCATAGATAACGACAGTGATTTCTCTTTTTGCATTGTTTCCCGTGTGAACAGGTAGGATTTCTGATAATGTGGATGGATTTGCTAATGCATGTTCTTGTTTTGCCATGAAGATGACTTTTCTTTCTTCCCACATGGCACTACTAGCCAGACAATGTAGCTAGGAATTCATTTATCCTACGACCTGTGGAGCTGAAGACAAAGGAAGATGCTGACTGAATGATAAGGACTTTCTTCCTTTGTGGCTAATACATCAAGATGCATTGCATGTAGCAACCTTCCTGCCCCTTATTCAGCTGTAAACATTGAAGGTATCTACTGTACGATTACAGTCAGAATGTGCAAGTGGAGAAGTGCTGGAGCTGCCTCGCTTACAATACTCTGCCTTACTGGGAGGCTGTACATGGAGTGTCCCTTATGAAATATGTTTGCCATCTGTGAGGTAATAGGACTCTGTCTTTTAGGTTTTTGGCAGCTAAAAGCATAGGAGATGCTGGAGCTGGAAGCCAATATGGGCTTTGGGAAGGCTACCAACATGTCCTTATCTTTGTTTGGAAGTGCCCTGGGAAGTATAGGTATAGGAGCGTTTACCAGCCTGTCTGTTCCATCTGCTTTTTTAGCTGACAGCTCTGTCACATAGTCTGCAGGAGGATCTCTAAAACCTCCAGAGACAGCACGACAGGGTTGGCAAACTATATCTGTTTGGGGCACCCTGCTTATCCATCAAGGCATCTGGACTGGGACCTCCTAGGAGATGACAGTGTGTAGGATGCCATCTACAGGGCGTACGTAACTGGGCAGGCACTGTGGACAGGCAGGATGCTCTGGCTATTTCAAAGTCCCTGTGCGGGGGTTTCTTTTTCTCCTAGGGAGCCCTACAGTGCACTGAACTCTTGCATATGGTTTCTTGTGCAGAAGAACCAGAATAATAGCACAGGCAGAGTTTGTATGAGCCTGGTAACTATAGGAAATGTCCTACCCCTCTCTTCCATTTTTCTTGTTACAGCTTTGTTCCAAATGTCTCTTGTAGTTACAGATATGAGATATTAAATAAATGTGGTAAGAAAGTGTAGGGCACTGAGAGAGCAAAAACGCATTTATCTTTCCTCATGCCTGCAATGCCAACAATATATTAAGTGCATAACAATATTTGATTTGTATTTCTCAAACACAGCCTGTCATTACCAATAAAAGAAATCTGAGTCTAGGTCAGAGGACAAGATATCGTCAGAGAGCCAAGAACAGACAGTCTCCAATCTAGTACAGTCATACCAAGGTTTACTTCCCAAACTCAAGAGTTTTCTACTGTAGTTTCTTTATCTCTCTTTCTGCACAACAGCCTGTTCCCAAGGTTCAGATGCTCATCTGGCACTGCAGGCAGGTTCTGAGAGAGAACAAAACTTGGGTAGACTGCACACCCTCAGTCTAGGCCAAAGTGTACCATGACCACAGTGAGGAGGAGCTGTTGGACTGTTCCTTCATCCCATGGATGTCAAGGATTTCAGCTTCCAGATCAGCCAATCTCACATGACTCTGTTCTTAAACTGGCAGGAGACTGGATGCAGTGTGATGGCAACATAACACTATCTGTATCTCTGTATCTCTGAAGTGATCTCCAAGACATCCCTGTTTCAATACTTATTATTGTTGTTGAAGAACTCTATCTAAATATTCCTCATGAAAAATAAATGTTCTATCTATGGTTAGAAATATCTACTTTGGAGACATTAGGAATGGAAAGGGATGCAAGCTAGCTGTATATGTACAAAGGAAGGAGGTTGTGTCTTTTAATAAAGCTGCATTGTATAGACTACTCTTGCTGGGAGCAAAGATGCTGTTTTAAGATGTTGAGTGATTTGTGTATCCAAGTTTGTGCCCGTTTCTGGCTAAGAGGGGCACTGCCAATGAGGACTGGTTCTTTACTGATAAACTCTTTGCAATATGGGGTAAGCAGGACCAAGAGGATCCCGCTGAGTGGAATGAGTTATATGAGCTCTTGAGAGCAGATGAAGTCCGGCTGTAGAAAAAAGGACATCACAGCTCATTGCTGTTTCTGGCATTGCAGCAGGGTGTAAGGCATGTTACTGCTTAGAAAACACTGGCTACAAGAAGCGTTTACTGAGCAGAGATAAGAGGATAGATAGCCAAGTTGGCTATAACTTTTGCTAATTGTGTTGGGGGAAATCTATTTTCTTTCTCATTTTAGAGCAAATGTTCTGTTAAATCTAAATTGGACTCATAGTCTCAATTCCCAAGGAAACAGGACTTACTATAGTCTGTGTCAGCTTTCTCGTTAAGTTTTGAAACCATGAATTTCAACCAAGTCTGATGATAGAGTTAGACACCTCAGGAAGACCCGAGTTCATAGAGACCTTGTGAAAACAGGTGACCTTGCTGAGAAAAAATACCTATATTGGCTCCCTCCGTAAGAGCTGTGTTTTAGGGAAA